CTCACCTCAGCCTCCCAAAGGCGTGGGATTACAGGCTGAGCCACTGAGCCCGGCACTGAGTAGACATTTCTACAAGAAGATGTACAAATGACTATAAAGCACTTGAAAAGATGCTAAGCATCTTTAATCTTTAGGGAAATGCAGTCAAAACCACAATGAGACATCACTTCACACCTGCTAGGATGGCTGTCACTTAAAAAAGAAAAGATAAAATAAGTACTGGGGAGGAGTGGAGAAACTGGAGCCCTCATACTTTGCTGGTGAGATTGTAAAATGGTGCAGCACTATGCATAATAGCCAACAGGTAGAAACAACCCAAATGTCCATCCATTGATGGACAAAGAGAATGTAATAAACTTGTACAACTGAATACTATCCAGCCATAAAAAGGAATGAAGTGTCGATACAAGCTACAACATGGATGAAGCTTGAAGACATTATTCTAAGTGAAAGAAGCCAGACATAGAAGGCCACACATTAAATAATTCCATTTATATGAAATTTCCAGAAGAGGCAAATCCACAGAGACAGACAGTAGATGAGTGGTTGCCAGGGGCTGAGGGAGGCCGGACCAGGGAGTGACTGCTGATGGCATGGAATTCTTCTGGGGGTGGTGCAGATGTCCTGGAAAAAGACAGTGGTGACGAGTTGCACAACTTTGTGAATATACTCTTAAAAAACCACTGAATAGTGCACTTAAAAATGGTGAGTTATGTCACCATTTGATATGTGAGTTATATCCCAATTCTTAAAAAAATAAAGACAATAGGATCCCATGTGTCTTCGCCCAGCTTCCCCCGATGGTAAATCCTGTGTAACTGTAGTACATTATCAAAACCAGGACCTTGACATCGAAATAGCATACAGCCCTTCCTGTGCTCATTTGTGTGCTATGTGTATAGATAGATTCTGTGCAATTTTATCACAAATGCATATTGTGTAATCTCCACCTAATTACCACATCGAGGTATAGACCAGTCCCACCACCACCAGGGCGTTCCCTTGGGCTCCCCCATAGCCAGCTCTCTCCAAGCCCCCGGCGACACTGGCAACCACTCATCTGTTCCCCCTCTCTCTGCACCTTGTCATTTCAAGAATGCTGTATAAATGGAATCACACAGTAGATCACCTTTTTGAGACTGGCTTCTTTCACTTGGCATAATGCCCTTGACATCCTTCCAAATCATTGTATGTATCATAGGTTGTTCCTTTTTAATGCAATCATTTATTAAATTGGAGCTGCTTTTAAGGGCAGCCCAGCATCTCCCTATGGGTGGGTGGATCTTTGTTAGGTTAACTCTGGAATAGAAAAGCACCTTTGGTCTAGCAGCTAGAAAGTTACGTGCTCAGAGAGACCTTCCCTGACCACCCATTCTCAAATAGCTGTTCCATGGACCATTAATAATTCTCTCTTATTTTCTTCATAGACTTTATCCCTGCTTGATTTTTTTTTTTTTTTTTTGAGTTGGAGTCTCACTCTGTCACCCAGACTGGAGTGCAGTGGCCGCTCCCGGCCACCGCAGCCTCGACCTGCTGGGTTCCGGTGATCCTTCCGCCTCAGCCTTCCAAGTAGTTGGAACTACAGCGCCCACTACCATGCCCGGCTGATTTTTTTAATTTATTGTAGAGATGAGAGCTCGTCAATTTGCCCAGGTGGGTCTCGAACCCGCGGGCTCAGGCAATCCACTCACCTCAGCCTCCCAAGGCGCAGGATTACAGGCTGAGCCACCGAGCCCGGCGATTTTTTTTTTCTTGGAAATTTTACCTGTTTGTCTCCCCTGCTATCCAGAGCCTCCAGGGCCTAGCAGGTCAGGTTCCTCTGCCCACCCCCTGCGTCTGGCTCAGCATCTGTCCCCAGGAGGGACTCAGTACTGTATTCGTTGGGCAAGCATGTAGCAGATGCAGCCAGCACTGGGTGACACCCCTCGCCCCACCCCTCGGGTGTGCACTGACTGCTCTCCCGACTGCCAGCCCTGAGATTTCTCTCCGGGAGGATTTTCTCTGGCCTCCGGGTCCCCACTTTGCCTCCCATGCCACAGGCCCAAACTGGGGGGTGGAGGAAGTCGAGGACCCCATAACCAACACAGGTGGGAATTGGGGTGGGTTATATGTACCCTGGTTCCCTTGTCCAGCAAGGGAGGCTCCCAAGGCTCCCAGATTCCCTGGGGCTTAAGCTTCTGTGACCACGGTAGCTCATTTGATAACACCCCCTTTGTGTGCTGCCTGGGCTCCACATCTCTCCTCCTCACTCCCCTACCAGCGTTTCCTTCTCTAAGTAAGCTGCTTAACGCTTAGATCCTTGCCTCAGGGTCTACTTCTGGGGGAAGCCAAACTGAGACAGAATGAATTAATGAATTAAAGATCGAGGTTCAAATTCTTGGTCTGCCATGTGAGCAACCTTGGGCGAATCGCCCCTTGCTGAGCTCTGGTCTTCCGTCGGTAGTGTGGGCTACCCACCTCCTGGGTTTGGAGAGAGCCCAGGGAGATAACAGCAGTGCAAGGTACCTGGGCTCTTATTCTGCCTCATCCCCACCACCTGCAATGGGGAAGGAGGGCCGCAGATGCTCTGCCCACTGGCCTGGCCCCCAGGGTGTGCCCAGCAGGTGCTGGGCCTGCCCTGGGCGGCTTACCTTGGCCCTCCTCTCAGATTCTGTCCATGGAAAGGAAACATCAGAAGGCCTGCTCGCTAATGAAACCCAAGTTGTCCGCAGGTTAATGTTCTTGGACTCTGAACAGCACAATTCCCCTGTAGCCCTCCTGCTATTCCTCCCGCTGACAGAAACGTGAAGGGAAATCAATTACAGTTCCTGCTCCCCCACTGGAGGGTCAGCCTTCCATCTCTTCCTTTGTCAGGCGCCACAGTGACCCATTTTAGGTCCCCACTCAGGGAAGGAGTGAGACTCACCTGCTGGATTTGGGGATGTGGTGTCATGACCTCCGCAGCTGCCCAGAGCACTCAAAGTCCTTGCCGAGCTCAAGAAACTTGCCAGAATAAGTCACACCCCTTGAACTCATCGCTCCCCCTTAACAAAAGCCTCCTCCTCCCTCCTGAAAGGCGCCGTTGTCACCAAAACAAGACCTCTTTTTTCTCCCCTGCAGCTGGAGCCTGGGCTGCCCATCTCCTGTGGGCCAAGAAACCCCAGATCAGCCAATTCTCCCTCCCTGGCTCTGTCAAGTAGCAGGCACGCTCCTGGTACTTGGGGAGTCTGCTGAGATGTTCTCAAATACAGGGCGATGCTCCTTTCAGATAAAAGGGGCCGCCCAGCCAGTGTCAGGCCCGCGGGGCTTGCTGGTTGGTACCTGGGACTTGCCGCAGCTGCTCAGCCCCTCAGCAAGGACCTCAAACTCAGATGCTTGCAGTGGCCAGGCAGGGACACAGGAGGGAAGTCAGGCGGTGTAAAGTAGTCGGGCATGATGGGGCTGTGGGCCCCGGGGAACAGCAGACTTCAGGGGCTGTGCACTTGGCTCCAGCAGCTGCCATCAGGGACCCCGAGCTGTCTCATCTTCCGAGTCTGCAGAAGCCAGAAATCTGGGTCCTGGGGCAGATCTCCCCATTTTTTAGTGTTGGCGGTGAATTTGTCTCTCTCTTTTTTTTTTTTTTTGAGTTGGAGTCTCACTCTGTCACCCAGACTGGAGTGCAATGGCCGCTCCTGGCCACCGCAGCCTCGACCTGCTGGGCTCCGGCGATCCTTCCGCCTCAGCCTTCCAAGTAGCTGGAACTACAGGCACGCACTACCACGCCCGGCTGATTTTTTGATTTATTGTAGAGATGAGGTCTCGCCAAGTTGCCCAGGCAGGTCTCGAACCCGCGGGCTCAGGCACATTTTATGAACCAACAAAAGACCTCCACAAGCCAGATGCAACTGACAGTTTCTTCTCTGACGTTTCATGGGAGGACACGTTAGGAGACACATTTCATGCACCCTCATTCAGCCGTTGGTTCCTTCCCCTCGGTATTTGCCATGCCAAGGAAATGTGCATGCTAAGGGCTCCGGAGTGAACCAGACACAGCCCCTTCCCCTGAGGAGCTCACGACTGAGTCAGGGCATCATGTAGACATGAAAGAAATGATTGTGGGACACTGAGGTAGCCCCAGTCTCAGGGCCTGCGAGGAGCCGAGGGTGCCTGGAGGAGAGTCGTGGACAGCGGGGGCAGGGGAGAGGTGGCCGTGGGGGCTACCTCATATTTTGGCTGAATTTCCCAGGATGAGAAAACTGCAAGGAAGGCAGGGTCCAGCCTGTACAAAGTCACTGGGGTCCAGCCAGCGTGGACATGTTTGGGAGCAGCTGTGATATCCAGAGAGACGAGAGGAGACGGATGGGGCTGAGAAAGACCCCTACGCTGGCTTTTTCCATTCGCACCCAAAGCGCTCAGGGCATGCAGTTTTGTTGGGGTGAATGAGAATGATAGTGAGGTGTCCCTGTTCTCCTGCCCCCCGGGTCTCTCCATCAGATCTGGTGGAAACAGCAAACTGAGAGCTCGAGGCTTGGAAACCCTGAAAGGAACAGAATAAACCCCAAGGCTCGGTGCCATGGCCCTGTCCCAACAAGCGCCTGAGCCAGTTTCCTTCTTCTATTTCTAAATTTTAAAAATTTGACAGGGTTTTACAAAAGAACACCAAAGGCTCTGCTTGCCAGGTTAATCAAATAGCGCGAGTGGCGGTGCTGGTCTCATCCTTCCCCGCCTCCAGCACGCTCTCCAAAGCTGATTAGGCTGATTAAGATAAAGCCCGCTGCATTTCAAATTCCATCTGGTTGGCGGATCAGAGGGGCCCGTGTGGCAGCTTTGTGTGCGGACCAGGTCAGTGACCTGCTGTGAAGCGCAGTCCAGACAGGCGAGACCCGACCCCCACCCTGGGTGATGGAGGGAGGTGGCCCATGCCTACCCTAGCGCCCAGCCCCCTGCCCCCTCCTGGTGTTCCCAAGCCAGAACCACTGCCATTTCATTTGAGGGGAGGCAGAAACGTGCCTAACGATCTCCCTCTCTTGCAGGCCTTCCAGGACAAGAAAGACCCCTCCTCCTTGTGGACCTGCCGCTTCCACCCGCCGCTCCAGCTCTTTTTTGTCATCCGCAACTCAAGACAGCTACACCACTTCGGTCTGGCCAAGATCAAGGTCTGGAATTACTGGACGACTGATGGTGTAAGTAGTGGGCTCCGATTGCTCGCTGGGGGGCCAGCTGATGGAAGCACTTATGGTTTGCCAATTGCCTCGTTCCTAAAGTGGCAAGGTGGGCGCGAGGCTCTGTGGCCCCACCTGCGGGATGGGGGAGGGGGTCACACACATGCGCAAGAGCCGTCACAACTGAGCCTGCAGCTCCCAAGCTTTGGAAGGTGATGTCAGCCGCCCTTTGGGGAAACTGGAAAAATACAACTGAGACTCAAAGAAACAGAGACACAGAGGTTACGTAACGTCTCGAGGCGCACAGCCAGGAAGTGTCCAAGTGAGAACGCGAACCGGTGCATTCAGGTTCCAGGCCCGTTCTCTCAGCCATCATTTCTCAAACCTTAATCTGCAGTGATGACTCACCTAGTGATCTGGTTTAATGCGGGTTCTAATCCAGCACAGGGCCTGAGATTCTGTGTATGTAACCAGCTCCCAGGTGACCAGTCGTCCTGGTCTCTAGACCCTACTTTGAGTAGCCGGGCTCTTCACATCTGACTGTCGAGCCCCATTGGTTTAGAATCCATCCCTGCCTTCTGACCTCACACTATCTGCCCTCACCCCTGCCTGCACCACATCTTTGTCTTCCCTTCTCTGGACTGTTTTTCATGGATTCATCGTTCCATGAACAAAAGGAGTGAGAAGAGACAGGCGCTCACTCAGCATGTCGTTTCCCTCTTAAGGTAGACATGGGGCAAGAGATTACTTTCCTGTCAAATCTTCTGCAAGGGAAGCAATAGTTCCAGTGATATTTAAATAGGAACTGGTCCTCAGCCTCTGTATTGTTAGAGAGACTCTAGGGAGTAGTGTGAACTGTGGCAGACTGGAAAGCCCATGCCCCAGGCAAAGGGAAGGCCTCTTTTCAGCTTCAACTAACAGTTGATATATAGGAATTACCAGCTAATGCTGCTAGACCTCCCAAACGTTCCAGTTAACTGGAAATCTAAGTTCTGATATGAGCCTACCTGGATTACAAATTATAAAAGCTAATTTAAATTCTAATCATTTATTTATTTTGAGATGGGGTCTCACTCTGTCACCCAGGCTGGAGTGCAGTGGCATGATCATGGCTCACCACAGCCTCAACCTTCTTGGCTCAGGTGATCCTCCTGTCTCAGCCTCCCAAGTAGCTGGAACTACAGGCACATGCCACCACGTCCAGCTGATTTCTTTTTTTTTTTTTTTTGTAGAGACAAGATCTCACTGTGTTGCCCAGGCTGGTCTCGGACTCCTGGGCTCAAGTGATCCTCCCACCTTGGCCTCCCAAAGTGCTGAGATTACATGTGAGCCACCATACCGGAAATTTTGAGTTTGCTTTTTTTTTTTTAAACAATCACCTAAGGTTTAGATGGGAGAAAAAGAAGTCCAAGCTCAGGAGAAAATGATGAAGTTTCCCTGGGCATGTCGGCCTCCCCTTTACCACCTGCCAGCCCTGGCCGCTCATGCGCAGAGGCCGCTGGGCCCAGCCCAGCTCATGTAGTCCCAGCACTCCCTGAGCATCCAGGACCAGGTCCTGTCCCTCCAGGTTCCGCTCTGCACTCCTGGCAGGTGGCCGTCCCACCCTCTCCTGGAATGGAAAATGGCACGGTGCCGGCTGCCCAGGCCTCTGCCAGTAGCTCGGCCCTGTCACCGCATATACATCGCAGGCCAAGGAAAGCAGATTGTATGTGCTGGATTACAAAGGCGATAAGCTTCCTGCCATGGGCCGAGGCCTGCCTCTCTTCTTTAACCTACGGCTCAGGCTTCTTTGTGTGCACAGAATTTTAAAAAGCCACAGAGTCTCGGGAGTCCCATGGGAGCCCCACGGGAGCATGGGGTGTCGTTGCGGGTGCTGGGGAGCTGCTGGCTGCAGGGATTGGAGAGCCAAAGCCTGTCTGCACCCGGGGTGGAATGCGGAGGGCTGCGGTCCCTGCCAGGGCACCGCTTATGCAACGCACTCCCACCCGTTGCCAGAATGTACCGGGAGCAGAAAAGCGCAAACAAATGCAACTGCAGGTTGGTTTGATTTAATATTCTCCGGAGAATGCTATTACTGTGTGTTTTAGAGGAGATAAAATGAGAGTTTATAGGAAATACGGCTCGGCCCGGTAGACACGGCTTGTTAATACGGTGTTTTGTGTGTGGGAATCTGAGGAAGAAAAGTTAAATGTGGGGAGCTAATCCAACCTAGGCTTATTTGGAACGTAAAAAAAGAAGGCGCTAGAAAAAGGGGAGTCTGTTATTAGAAAAAGTGCTGCCTGTTAAATCCTCACGCTGGCACTTCTGGCTCCTTTCCCTCGTGAGGCGACAGGGCAAGTGTGAGCTGGCCCGGAGCAGAGGGTTGTGAGGGGACAGTGAGGACGTGGGGGCCGCGCCATCACCACAGCAGCGCACAGAAGGCAGCTCACAGACGCCCTGCTTGTGACAGCTGCCATTTATTGGGCACTGCCGGCGCCAGGCGCACGAGACCCCCGGTGGGCACTCAGTAAAGTCTGATGTGTGAACGAATAACGGAGCAATGAATCGTCCCAATTAACCCCCAGCATTCCTGCACGGCGGGTGGCGGTGCCCCCGTCTTGTAGATGAAGAAGCCAGGGCTTCAGACCACGAGGTTGCATGTGGCATCCAGACTTGTCTCTTTTGCCAGCCGGCTGGAAATGGCTGCCAGGAGGGCTGTCTTGAGGAGGTCCTGGAACCTTCCTTCTGGTTCACAAGGAGAGGTGCTATGACTGATGGGAGGAGGATGTGGTCATATGTGTGTTACGAATAACGATTAAAGGGCTTGCTCAGTGAGTGGGTGTGAGGGACAGAGCTGGGAGGGGACGTGCACGTGCTGCTTTCCTCTGGCTCTGCTCAGCAGGGCTTTCCCTGCAAAGGGGCATCCTTGGGGAGAGGAAGAGACCAGTCGCCTCCCTTCTATAGTTGGCCATGACCCCTCTAAAACATGACTCCTCCTTGATAGCAGTCGAGTTAGTTATCTGCTGTGGGGTTCACCCCTCAGTGAGACAGGCACCCCCTCCCCATCGTAACCTCCACATCACCGTGCAAGTGCCACCAACAGCCTGGTCGTATCAAGGAGTGAGACAGGAGCTAGTGTTCAGGCAGGACGGGCACCCAGGGCATATTTTACACATAGGCAGGCGTTCATTAAGTGATTTGGGTGATTTTTTTCTTGAGTCACGGTCTCACTCTTGCCCAGGCTGGAGTGCAGTGGCACGATCACAGCTCACTGCAGCCTCAACCTCCAGGGCTCACGTAATCCTTTCACCTCAGCCTCCCAACTAGCTAGAACTTTAGGTTTCACACCACCATGGCTGGCTAATTCTTTTTGTAGACAAGATCTTGCTATGTTGTCTAGGCTGGTCACAAACTCTTGGGCTCAAGCAATCCTCCCACCTCAGCCTCCCAAAGTGCTGGGACTACAGGCACATTGCCACCACGCTGAGCTAATACTTTCATTTATTGTAGAGAAGAGGTCTTGTTAAGTTGCCCAGGCAATCCTCTAGCCTTGGCCTCCCAAAGTGCTGGGATTACAGGCGTGAAGCACCATACCTGGCCATATCCCCTAAAATTTGAAAGTAAATTGTAGCTATCACACGATTTCACTCCTAAATTCTTCAGTATGCATCTCTAACAAAAAAGGCATTTGTTTGTTTATTTTTACATAAACCGGATGCCACTATCATGCCTAGCCATAATTAATTATTATGCTCTAATGCCCACTCTGTATTTAAATATTCCTAATTGTCTCCAAATTGGTTTTTTACACCTGACTTATTCAAATCAGGATGCAAACAAAGGCCAAACATGCCAATGGCTTTGAAGTCAGAGGTGTCACCTTCACTGGGTCAGCTAAGTCAGCATGGCCTGATGACTCTGCCCTATGGCGGGATCTGAGCACCATAGGGCCCGGGACAGGGACATGACAGCATCTTAGCTTGGTGATTGACAGAAAGGGAACTGACCCCATTGCATGGGACGCTTCATGAGCTCTTGACCTCAGGCTTGGCTGAGGCCCCTGTCCATGGTGTCTGCCAGCTGGGAGGCAGCGGCTGTAATCTTGGGCAAAGTCCACACAGATGCAGGCGTGGGAGCCATGAGTGTCCTGGGAGGCTCGGGTTTGAAGAACCCCCAAGCCAGCATGGCAAGGAGAAGGATGCAGAGAATCCAGCCTTCAGAGAGAGCAGACCAGCAAGAACACTGGGATTCTGAGCCAGACTCCACTCCCAGCAAGAAGGTGGTCGCTGGGGCAGGGTGGAGACTGGAGTCCATGTCCTGTGCTGTGCACGGGCTGCCGCTGGGGCTGGGCCAATGCCTGAGGAGGGAAGGGCTGTGCACCTGGGTACAGGTGCTGGCCTGGGGCAGCAGGTTATACCCCAGACCTCTGCAGGGTGGGGCTCCCACCTACCTCCTGCCAGTTTTGGCCAGGTCTGATTCAGCAGCCAAGTCTATTGATTAGAGTTCTCAGTAGCCAGGATTCTCTTGGGGCAAAGGACGGAAGCCCCACGTAAAACTGAGTTAAGCATAAAGGAAAATTCTCTGGCTCATGTAATAGAAGAGTCTCAGTACTGGCTTCAGGTATGGCAGGATCCAGGAATTCCCATGATGGCATCAAAAATCTGCCTTCTGCTGGGCTCGGTGGCTCAGCCTATAATCCCACACCTTGGGAGGCTGAGGTGAGTGGATTGCCTGAGCCCGCAGGTTCGAGACCCGCCGGGGCAACTTGGCGAGACCTCATTTCTACAATGAATCAAAAAATCAGCCGGGCGTGGTAGCGCGCGCCTGTAATTCCGGCTACTCAGAAGGCTGAGGCGGAAGCATCACCAGAGCCCAGCAGGTCGAGGCTGAGGTGGCCGGGAGCGGCCACTGCACTCCAGTCTGGGTGACAGAGTGAGACTCCGACTCAAAAAAAAGAAATCTGCCTTCTTACATAGCTTACCTCCCTTCTCCTCTGTGCTGGCTTCATCTTCGGGTATCAGTGATAGTTCCTGATGATGTCA